ATTATTTCTAATTTGAACGATATTCAATTTCTAAAACATGTACGTCAGGAGTTGATGAATCGTTCCTGAAAGATCATAACTGGTAGGTCAATTGTCAGGCTTTTATTTAATCAGGATTCTTTCATCTTTGCACATTTTCATTGTACGATGAATCCTGCAGTTTTTCATTACTCAACTCGCATACGAAACACTTTATATATTTTTCATATTATTTTGAACCAAAGACTTATCAGCGAAACGTGCCTTGTTAACATGATAACAAGATTGTCTAAAGATTTTTGATACAAAAGTTGATTATCGAAAAGAACGTGATGACGTATTCAAATTGATTAATAAAGTTTAGGGCGCGTACTTTAATAATAACCTTAAGATTATCGTGCAGATTATCCGCCGCTTATCCTTGTTAAACCTTTCAGTAATGTAAACTTTACTGGAACCTTTGATAATCAATTGGCAGCAATATAATCTATCAGCAGAGTTAATTTATTTATTCAGGAATATTAATAATTGACACTGTGTCTTAAATGTCAAAAATAATTAGCTGTTTTTTTTTGCTTTGGAAATTAATCATGCTAATGAACCAAGTGTGAACGGAAGTCCACGAAGGTTGTTACATTTACATTAGATTTGAATGATGGTGTTTTTCAAAGTAAGTATAGCTTGAAAAAATGGCTTTATTGTACAGTGACCTCTTAAAAATAAGGCAGTGATTTTAACTCTTTGCCAATTATGATTTTTGTTTTGTTTTTGTAGATACGCGCAATTTAAAGGTCCTTCTTCAAAGCACCAATGCATTTTAAAGTACGGAAAGGGAAATTCAATTAAAGGAACTGTTGTAAACAAATCCCCAGACGGGAAATGGGGGAAAATTCTGCCAGTTAGCTGATTTTTTTTCAAACATATTAGGAAATGTTTTAACAACAATTTGACCAATTTTTGAATGTAAAAACGATCTACTCTTATTAGCACCAGGGCTGATGATATGAATTGTTAATTTTGTTTTCACAAGTCGAATTGCAAATGTTCCTCCTTACCTCGGTCGATCCGTGAATAAATTCAAAGTAAGGCTCCGGCTCATCACGTTCAACGATGAATTTATTCCTTAACAGATATCAAAGTCAAGGTGGACACTGTAAACGAAGAAGATTGATCGAATGGTTCGAGGTCGTAGAAAATTTTTGATCTCTCCGGCTCGAATTCGTCCCTTCTGGATCCGAACCGCTACAAATGGCCAAAACTCAGCTCGTCCAAGTTTGAAACGGATGATTGATTCGACAAATCGTTCAAGATTCCTCTATTTGAAAGGGTAGATATTGTTCGCAGAAGGAGTATGTTCCTTGACCTCGTTTCGCTCCATTGGAGTATAAAACGGTATCGACGATTTGATTTTGATCCATTTTTTTCTCCCGGGGTATTTTTGAAACGGTAGCTCTTTCGAAAAAGGAATACCTGTTTGTAATCAATCACCTATGTTAAAAAAATGAACTGAAAAAAGTCAAAGATTGATTAAAACGGGCTAACTATATCGAGGTTATAATTGTTATTAAAAATTCGTGATCGTTCCACCATCTAGCGAGTGGTGTCATATCCATAAAATTTGCGTTGGGGAAGATAGGACACGGTTTGTTTGCTGCCCTGCTACCTTTTACAACACACCTCCTAGGATCCTTGAGATTATTTTTAACGGAACGTATTGAAAATTAACGACATCTCCCATCTTCTGTTTTAGTGCCTGTGTTGGAGACACTTTTTTTAAAAAAGAACCTTTATAAAGTAAACTCCCTCAACCGGTGTTTTCTCATTCAGCGACACGCTCCGAATATTAATTCGGAGGGTGGGAAAAACCTAGAAAATTCGGGCAGGGTTGAAGACACGATCAGGGGATTTTTTTCACTGTAATTTTTTTGAACTTATATCACGCCACATATTTCTTCCGAAATCAAACTGGAGAAAGAAAGGAGACCTCGTCCATTTCTAGAGGCGATCGAGACGAAGCGCCAGGATCTCTTTCTACGTTGAAGAATAAACTGAAAGTGCACGCCTTACATTCCAGACGCGGCAGTTCCTCAACAAGAAGTAACAGGACGAGTAAACTGTAGTACAGGAAACTGTAGAGCCGTAAAATCATAAGGCTTTGAAACTGGTCTAGTTTTTTTCTTAAATGGTATTATTTATACAGAGACAATCCACCTATTAATCAGGAAAATAACTAACTACCGACAAATTAGAAAAGGGGATTTTCACAAAAGTTTAAGATGACATCCACACAAATTACCATGGTATAAAGGTTACTAGGAAGTGGGGTTTGCGCTCCCCAGGCACTGCAGCCTTTTGACTTATTGTACCTTCCTAGTTCCTTAAGGTGGCCATTCACGATCACTCCAAATGGAACCGCGCCAAGCCGTACAGCTCCATTTGGAGTGCCTGAAATTTGAGGGCCATTCACGACCGCTCCGAACGTCAACCAGTGAATTACCTTCTCAAAATGGATGACGATCTCTTGTGTTACGTTTCTGTTTATTTATATATTAAAAGCAAAAATTCGAAGAGGAAATGGTGTAAGAAGTGGCTCCTGAACAGAAGCCGCAATACCCACATCAATTAGAAAGATCTTTCCCTTGAACCCGCTTATTTATTCATTATATTTAGTGTTCTATTGATCAAATTACTTCTTTCAATTAATTAATCGTTTTTGTCAGGTTTTGGTTGAAATGAAAAAGCTAGTGCCACGAGCGGGATCTGAATCCATGGCCTTCGGTTGAATACGCCGCTGCTCTGCCACTTGAGCTATCGTGACTTCGATCCTCTCCGACACCAAAAAAAAGCAAAAAGAGAGAAAATTCGAAAGGTTGTAGGTTGAGATGGGGAGGTGGTGTCCGAGTGGATCGAACTATCGAAGTCACGATAGCTCAAGTGGTTAACGCAGCGGCGTATTTAGCCGAATTACCCTTGTTACCCCCTTGATTAGAAAACAAAAGACAGTCATGAGAGAAATCATCACTACATGAAATGTTGGCAACCACATTACGATTTCTCGCTACAGGGATGAACTACAAAGAACTTAAGTTCTCTACTACGATTTCTGATCATTTTTAGGGGTTATCAATACGGCTTCTCTCGTTGCATTTGTATCCTTTGTTTTGAAAAGGTCGACCAACTGGTTGAAGATCGAATTTCTTTTATTTCTATCGTGGTAATCATTGTCCACCACTTTCCATAAATTTCAATCACTCAACAATAAAATCTCGATTGGATGTCATTACCAATAAAGAATAAACGTTTTTGACTTTTTGAGAATGTACGACGGAGATGTTTGCTCAGTGACAGAAAGACGGAGACTGCGCCAAAAAAAACGCGGCTTTTCCCATTCACGACCAAGCCAGCGCTCCAATATTCCACCGTTCACGCCAGGTTTTCCCATTCACGAACGCGCCATGCCGTCGTCGCGCCGTAAATATTTGGAGTGGCGCGATGGAGTTTGGACTGCTAGGAGCGATCGTGAATGGCCACCTTTAGTTCAGTGCAATAGACTCAATCCTTCTCCTTAGAAGTATCAGGTCATTGACTGTCGCTGCTGCAATTTGATTCCCTAAGTTTTTTTCCATATGTTAGGTTACATCTCCATCGAGCTGTTGCTTAGCATTCGAAGATGATATGGGTGGCTGTTTCCTCCTCATCATTACATAATCTGCAAATGGGATCATCGTTGTATATACCAATGCTGTGTAGATGTTTTCTCAGATGCTAGTGCCGGCTAGTAGTCCTACCACTCCTCTGAGTTTGGTCCTCTCCAATTGCAGCAATGTTTTTGCCAGTCTTGGTGAGAGTTGTTTCATCATAAGTTTATTAAGACTAGCACCGCTAGAGTTATCCACTACTCCTTATGTTTTGTTTGGATCCTTCTGCGATGGAGGACTCTATATTTATTTTTGTTATCCCAAGTTTTGTTCGGGGCCTATGTATGGTCTTGCAGATCCTCCTCTGGCCGGACTATCTGCTTTCTCATTACCCAAAATTCCCCCTGGCACCCAAGATACCATCAGGTTGTTGTGTTTCCCCAGGTTTTGGAGATTTTGGATGCATTCACTGACTAATTTTGATGTGATTATTTTACATGCTAATGCTTTAATGGCTGCATGGCTATCAGATCTTGTGAGGATTTTTTTGCCTGTATAACCTTTTTTAAGATTTTCGAGGGCAGAAGCATTGATGGCATGTATTTCTGCTTGAAAGACCGAAGTGTACTTCCCTAATGAGTTTGATTGCTCATGTTTTGGGCTTGTACAGAAAACGCCTGATCCGATTCCTTCGTTTGTTTTGGAGCCATCTGTGTACCATATCATTGTATCTGATGCTCTCCTGTGTCCTTCTTCTCCTTTATAGTCCGTTGAGACTTTATAGGATGTTGTGAAGATTGTTTCCGGGATCATGTAGTCAGTCCCATTTCTAATAATGGGTGCCTGATTTTGTTGAATATGGTTGTATGCCCGAATTGTTTAGGTCCTTTCCAATTTAATTGTTTCTGGAGCCTAAGTGAGCTTTTCTTAGCCTCTCCTTGTATTAATATTTCCAATAGAGGTTTAGCAGAGTGTCTAAGGCATTTGTAGGGGTTGTTCTCATTGCCCCTGTGATACATAGGATTGGTAGTCTTTATATGCTGCCTAATATTTGGGTAGCTACTTGTTGTGCTTTGTTCCACCAGATTATTGACAAATTACCATGCATAAATTCCTGGTAGAATGTCTCATCCTATTATTTTGTTCCTTTTTTATATAAACTTGTGTATGGAACGGTGGTAAATTTTGAACGTCTTTTAATTCCGGATATTTAATTGAATTTGTAATAACTTAGGTGAATAATAAAAACTATACGGACCTGGAAGTTAGACCGGCTTCGTTGGTTAGGACGCTATTGTGTCATATTTTAGAATTTAGTGTACTTAATATTTTTCTTTTTAAGCAAGTCATCAACGTATAGCTTATTTATTATTTCCTTTTCAGTTATATACCGTTTCCGAGTTGCCGAAGTTGCCCCATCTGCACGAGGCTTACAAGGAGATGGCCAAAATGGAGAAAGAAGAGGCCAGGCTGCTTGGCGGTTCGAATCGCAAGAAGTAACGTACAGTTCAAAATTAATCCCATGATTTTCTATTCGCTTAAATCAATAAACCAGAAACAACACTCAATTTGTCAACAAAGTGAATTTCTTTTAACATTATTTTCTTATATAATAACTGTTCTTGATGTAACGTATTATGTAGTTCACATGGACGTGAAAAGTCCTACAATTATAAGTTTGTTTATAAGTTACAGAAAACACTATGTGGTTATGTAAAACCGTTAAATCTAGGGAGAGAGACTGGGTGCGGCAGGCATTAATTAATTACAGCCGTGTGGTATGCGAGCGGGTGAGGGTAACATATGCCACTTTGTAGTAGAAAATGTGAGAATAACCTGAAGATTGTGGGATATATTGTTACCAGAGGTCCACAGACTCTGTCGGATTCATTACGTATTTAAACAGAGTTAACCCGGTCTGAAATAAAATTAAACGGGCTAATTGCCAGGAAAAAACTGTGTTCAAAAGGTTCAGAACTGAGACAATCAACAGGGGGAACGTTTGTTATCCGGGCCGCGTCCTTTGTCCGCCACCGCTGTCGGAAAACGCTACCCGCATTGCGGGAATCTGAAAGGGTTCCTGGTTCCAGACATCGCCAAACCGCGACTCCCCGGTTCCGGAAGAACGAAAAAGAGAGAAACCTATTCCGATGGTGTAACTACATGAAACCTGGTGTGATTTCGAGCATGCCGGTATAAAAAAAGGGCGGGTCGTACCGAAACGGGGATGAAATAAATCGAGCGAAGCCAGACGGGCCCGAATCATATCGTTCACGTGCATTTTATGATATTACATGATGGCAAAATGATTCGAAAACTACGAATCTTCTCTTACACGTCGATTAAACGACTAGTGTCAATGGAGTGTACTGAATATTAAGCTATATTCATTTTATCTCCATAATATTAGTAAGTTTTGGCTGAAGTGTGAGAGAAAGAAGGACCTTTACGATTTTAATGTTGTAGAAAGAGGAAACGATAAATAGGGGGAGGGTAAGCACAAGTTTTAATGGAGTTTTTCACTTCTCTCACTATTTTCTCTAACCATCACTATTTTCCCAGTTTAAGCTTTAAAAAAACATGTAATAATAAATATCGTTGGAAAGAAGGAACCATTGTTTGTTGTTTTTTTTTCTACGAAATAAGCGTAATTTCAAATTTGTAAACAATTGGTATCAGTACTTTATTTATGTATTTATTTTTTAACGAGGGTATTTCAGCTAGGAGATTATATGAAACCTGGGGGTGCCGGTGTTTTTGAAAATAAAGCCCATTTGTAAGTATGGTAGGGTTCGAATGCAGGGCCGCTGGATTCGAACCAAGGACCTTTACCTTACCAGTACTTATATTAATCTGGAGATTTTCCGCGAGGACTGTATTTTTCTTACATAGTATTTAACAGCCATTTAAGACAAATGACAAAAAAAAAGTTACAGAAGTTTTTTTAATCATAAGATCTTTTCCATCTCACTCACACTCTTTCTCTTTCTCTCTCTCTCTCAATCTCTCACTATTTTAGCGAGAGAATAAAACACATTCAGTATTTCACTATCCTTTCGACTGACAGTATGTCCAAATCAAATTCCAATAAGCTGTTTGAAAGGCTAAATTTAAGCTGTTTTAATCAGCCGTTCTCAGGGCTAAGCCGAAAATTGAAGTAACTTGAACTGTCGATGGCAATTGCCTATTTAGGGCATTGTCGTTATGCACTTACGGACGGCAAGATTTTATGGAAAAGGTTAGGCACCAAATCGTCAGCCTTGTTGTTTCCGAGTAAAAATAATACAGCAATTGCATTATAGGCTCAGATCTTTATGATAAGATCATTAAATGTGAGCATGAATATTTTATGTTAATTATTCTTCAGATATCGTGAGATGCGGTCTGTTGTGATGTAGGTATTAGAAAAACATTTTCTTTATCGTGCCAACGTTTCGATCTTTTATTGAGATCATCTTCAGGGCTCACAAAAAATGGATGAAAATGTGGTCCGTGGGCAAACCTCAGTTCTTAGTCTTATCCGTCCAGCCACGAAGGATGGGCATGGGGGGGGGTGCTGTCAACTGCTATGTCAATTCAGCACCCAACATAGTTCCAAACCTATTCGTACTCACGGTGTTTGCTTGAGATGGTTTCAACAATTTGTCTTTTTTTCCTTTCTTACAATTAAAATGAGCCTACATAAACACTTAGGTCTAACTTTCTCTCATTTCGCTTATTGAAGTCTCTCATAACACAAAATCACTGATTGCCGCCTGAATACCTTGCCCATCAATAATCTCAATAAAAGATCGAAACGTTGGCACGATAAAGAAAATGTTTTTCTGAAACCTACATCACACCCGACCGCATCTCACGATATCTGAATAACTATCGATTAACGGTCACTAATCTCTACACATTTTATGTTAATTTAAGTTAACGGCAGCCATGGTGGTCACGTCGAATTACAAGTCTACAACATGCGTCAAAACATTTTTCGGAGTAGTAATGTAACCACAATCGGAGAAACTGGGCCGATTTTTTCATTGCTTCATTCGGGGGAAGGCTTTCATGGTCACTATGTCGTGCTAGTTTTCATCCATTTCGAATGATAACTGATAACAATCAAGGTCTAAGAGAAACGTCCAATAAATGAAGAATTTCAGAATGCAAAAAATTAAGACAAAGCCAACATTGTTGGGAGAGACAAAAGGTAATAAATATTACGATCGATGTCGAACATCTTGATGTAGGAGATTAACATTTTAGGGAAAATATTCGAATTAACTTACAATAATACATTCCCTTTTGCGTCATTCAATTCTCAAAATACAGATATAAAAGGAAGTGGTGCATATTCCATGCGGATTCAAAGAACAGCTAATATCAAAGCTACTACAAGTCTTACAAGTGTAAAAAAACACTCAGAGTTTCGGTCAAATAAACATATTTGACGATGGAGAGGCAGTGATGCACCGAGCTCAGAAAGTCAAACGGTAAGATGTATTATACGTTATCCAACCTATTATAAACCGCAATCCATAATGCTGAGGATATAAAAATCTCTTACAAATCGAACATCTCTAAAGAGGTATTTTTACATTTCTAGATGAAACCAATGGATCATCCGCGAATTGATATATAAGAAGTCAACAAGTAATGAGCTTGCAGCAATCATGAGTCAATGATGATGACATAAAATATAAAGTTCTACGTACTTATCCATAAAATAAACATGATATCAATTTCATGCCATTTCCCCGCATGAGCGCCGGCTAGCTTTTTCGCGAGTGAATGAGTGGTCAATAAAAAAAGAGCTACGAAGCGGGTTGGCGAGCTTAGCGAGACGAAACAGTTCTGTAATTTGACATCCGATTATTTTGGCCTGTTTTTATGTACTTCACTATCATCGGTGTGTATGTAGACTATTTTTGTTTTCCAAGTTAGTGAAAAGTTAAGAAAGGGATGAAATAGGATGTCTGTGTTAATGTTGTTCGGTACACTTATTGCCTTACTTCAACGCAGATATAAGACGTTTCAAGATCGATTCCGATGGATGACGTGTTCGGCCCTTCGCCATCATCAGTCGTGGATTGTTTGAAGATGGCTAAATCGAAGCTAAGGCGAAACGCTTGGGACAGACTTAGTCCACACTAGGGTCAAAGTTGCGCGCCTTTGTTGGAAAGTCCCGATTTAATTTTGCGCTTCTCAGGAGTTTCTGAGATTGTTTCTCTGTGATGGTTACTGTTAATTAAAAATAGAAATCAAAGAAGATAGTGGGTCCAAAAATTGTTTAGTAACAACGATACATGACGAGAACTTTTGGATATATTAAGACTAGAAAATGGAATGGGATTTGTCAACTTTTTAACTGATGACACCTAAAGATTTTGAAAATGTTTGCGTCCAAGGTGTTTTAAGAAAATACAAAATTTGGAAATTGAATTTCCACTATCGTGCTGCCCCCGGACATGCGTCTACATTTGCAATGTTGCGCAACTGAATCCTGTTTCGAAGGGACTCAAAATCATCACGTAGACCCGCAATACACTCCAGATACAAGGGGACATGTTGCGGGACAGCAATAACACTCCTGATTCAAAGGAGATTCAGCCCCGCAACAATGACACGCATCTTCCAAGCGTGGACTAGGCTTAAAACAGCGAGTTTAGGCGGATCAGAGTGATCGGGATTGTCAAAGCTACAGGTCCATCAGCCGCTGTCAAACCACTATAGTAGAAGCCATCACTCAGGGAACTAAACATCGGTTTTCCAACACAAATCTCATGGGGAAATGTCTTGACATAGAGCTTAAGCATTAAAAATAATATTAGACGGCAATATATATGTATCTGCAATATGGATAATGTGGTAAATCCTGATTCTACTATGACTATTCTCTCAAATATGAAATATAATTGAAAACAATCAAACAGGTTTGTCCTACCAACGTGCAAATTGGTACTATGTAAAAAAAATCAATACCATCAAGGTGATTGATTGATAACCTTTTGTGGCCAGCAAGAGTGAGTCACTAAAGCAATTCAGGCCGAATAGAAAACGTTTTTAAGGGTGATGACAAGGTAAAACGTGAGGGCAGCGGGAAGAGAAACCTAGCTTGGTCTTCACCTATCGTTAATTGTGGTGATCGATTTTTTGAATCGACTACATTATCATTTCTATTATTTTGGTCTACTACAGATATTTTTAGAATTGCTTTGATACAAAACCCAGCCAAAGAGAGGTTTAGGGCAGTCCATATGTAATGGACATCCTTGAAAACAAGCAATTTATGCTCCCCAAAAGTAAGGTCGATGCCACTTTCATCTCCGAAGAATTCGGCCAAATTTTACGGGCAAGAAAAGCAAAAACAGATAATGTAATTACCATCGGTCGAACTCGGCTTATGTTAATTGTCTCTTTTGGAGCAGCATGCGACAATTGTCAACCGTTCCAGTCGGAACGTGGATATGAATTCTAGCATCCCCGCCGGGATCCACGACGCCGTCCAGATAGGTTGTACAGGGCAAAATTTCTTCCAGCCTTTGTCAAATATATTTCAACCCGGGAGGAAAATCCCACGGCAGGGACACAGTCGGCCAA